TTAAACGTTCGTTTTATTTCTGAACTTAATCCAAACCCTTCCCGCTGAGTTTGGTGGTAAAGAAGTCTTCATGAGTGAAGCTAATGTAAAAAAGTTCTTTACCCATAATTGAAACCTTTCTGATCCAGACTTGGCTTGGACTGCACTCTGTACGGATTGGATCATGACCTAATTACTCTAACAGTTTACCAACTCTACACAACAAAAGTCTGCATTCAAGAACTCAAATAGAATTTAAGTGACAAAAACAGAGGACAGATTGTGTTTCAGAACATTTAGGGAGGCTGTGGCGCAGTGGGTTGTGCGTTGGTGTTCGCATCAGGGGGTCACAGGTTCAAGTCCCACTGCAGTCAGCATGTCGTTGTGTCCCTGGGCAAGACACTTCACCCCAAATTGCACAGTATTGAGTATGTAAGTCGCTTTGGATAAAAGCGTCTACCAAGTGACATTTAATTTCCCAATCTTTTTAGAGCTGATCCCAGCAGGAGCATCAAAAGGCCGATATATCCAGTAAAGGGAATTGCTGAAGCGAATTATACAAGTGTTGATGACACAATCTCTCTCCACCTGAAGTGTGAATTTTCTTTTGGTCTGGTGTCCTAGATGAAATGTGTATTAAAACATCTTTGACATAATTACAGAGCAAGAAAAGGTCCTGTAGTTTTATGTTCAGTACAGTGTACTTTGACAAGTACCACACACACACACACACACACACACACACACACACACACACACACACACACACACACACACACACACACACACACACACACACACACACACACACACACACACACACACACACACACACACACACACACACACCACACCCACACACACACACACACACACACACACACACACACACACACACACACACACACACACCACACACACACACACACACACACACACACACACACACACACACACACACACACACACACACACACACACTACTTCCTGGTTGATACAATACGGCTTCAGTGATTAAAACACTAATTGATTTAATTTATGAGAAAACATTGAAGTTGTCAACTATTTTACTAGTAAATGTTTAGCTTTAGAAGTTGTTGTTCATGCTAATCACGGCAGGAAATGCTGTTTTCGGCCATTAAAATGTAGATGTGTTGCTTTTCTCTTTTACATCATAATAAAACGGAATATATGTTGGGTTTATGCTGATAAACAAGATATTTAAATACATTGCATTGGACTTTTGTTATCACTTAATATTCCTGGGAGGTTTTTCGTATTCCCCTGTGGTTTCTAATGTTATTTAATGATGCACTTGGGTGTATTTGATGTCCCACAGTATCAACGTGTAACTATTTGCTTACTTTGATTGCATGTACTGTATAACTAGACATATGACTCGGATGTGAAAAACTAAACTGCCTTTAAAGTTTAGCCTCATTTGCCCCTCTTGTGCAGCTCACCCCTTAATCGATGCGCACTGCGTTGTGCGTAATCTCTCCCTCCTCAACTACTTCCAAATGACAGAACTCGGTAAGAAAAACTCACACTCAACAGGTTTCCCGTCTAGAAACTTAAATCTCGCCAAATTACCTGTTTTTCTGACGAGCTTTCAGGAAGTTTTTTCCAAACGGAGCCATGTCTCAGCAGCGCCACAAAACACAGCAGCAATCCGAAAAAAGCGTTACAGTCCCCGCATGGCAGGACGCGGGACACTTTGAGCAGAGATCCTGAAAAGTTGAAGAGTGCAACTCTGAACGCCCCACCGAAAGAGGGAGGGAGGTGTTTCCATACTGACAGATATTGGTGTGTCTCTGCCCCCTTCCACCTGCAGGGACAGCCTGACACACTAGTTTAAAGTGTAGTTTAAACTTCCGCCTCTATCTACTTGTCTTTCATCCTTTCTTTATAACTAATGCTGTTGATGTATTGTGTTTTCAAGGGTGTCTAATGTCATCTGGCCGGGGACAACAGCTGGAAATTAGCAATGTTGGCTAAAGCTGCCCCATTTACTGTTTTGACAGTTGATCAATGGGGACTGTCAACGACACTATAAACAAATGAACTAAACTAAACACTGTTCAGTAAAAACGATAAAACATTGGGGATAAAAACTAAAATAAGTAGTTCAATATGATTTTATCCTATTTGTTTAGGGGTAGGTAAGTGTACCTACCCCACCTTTAAGTGAAACATTCATAAAAGTTTATAAGGACAAATTATTCAAATATTTAGAAAAGTTGCAATACTTTATTGCATCAATACTCTGTTACAAATAAAAGTCCTGTATTCCAAATCGTTCTGAACCCTTAGATGCATAAGTGGGTCTTTTTTGACCCTGTAATTACATTTTTTTATCATTTCATATTCCAGCTATTCCTCAAAAAACATGTTTTGGATATCATACCATTCACATTTTTTATTTAAATTCTATACATTTTAAGAAATTGTAGTGTTTGTATTACTACCCCAAGCTTCCATAAGTGGGTCAAAAATGACCCGCATGCATTACTATGGAATTTCATTTTCTATTCAAAATGTAAAAAAAAAATAAAAAATTCTAAATAGTGAAAAATGTAATATAAAATATTTCTAGTGTGAACCAAAATATAATACTAAATATTATACAAGTGATTTTTCTTAACCAAAATGACAAAAATGGCATAAAAACACATATTATTCTAATACGGGTCCTTTTTGACGGAAGAGTGTAGGGTCCAGTCACTCGGGCATCTAAGGGTTAAGGAAAAGTACAACAGTATTGTTACCAGAAGTAAAAGTACAGTACTTGTTATGCGTAAGGGCGTATCTAAGAGTACTGTATAATGATGGGTTATGATTAATGATGGATGTATGTGTTTATCTCACAGTGGGTAATGTTGGATCAGATTTGACATACTTTGTATGGATAGTAATAATCATATGTTGATGTTTTTTAAATTTTATTTATATAGTCTAATAAGCTGAATCTGTACAGTAAGTAAATTGGTCAAATATGTGAATTAAAAGTACAATATTGGCTTTAGTGTAGTATAAAAGCTTGGAATTGTACTTGAGCAAATACTTACATTTTTGTTCATATAAAGTCCAACTGTAACACTTGAATCAGACAGCAGATAGAATAGATAGAATGGGAGGGATGAAACCACAGCACACAGTGAAATGTGTTCTCTGCTTTTAACCCATCCTAGTTACCAGGAGTCTAGCACTAGGAGCAGTGGGCAGCTATTGCACAGCGCCTGGGGAGTAATGGGAGTGAGGGGGGAAGGGACCACGGCAGGGCAGGAGGTGAACTGGGACCTCTCCAAGTAGCAGTCCACACTCCATATTTTAGGTCTGGTCGGGGACTTGAACCGGCGACCCTACGACTCACAGTCTGAGCCCCTACTGACTGAGCCACTTTAAAGTCTCTAATGTGATATTACTATATACGCAGATATTGCACAAATTGTATCCCTATTAGATTTAACTGTGATTTAGCAGATATGTGAACAAAATCTAAGAGGATCTAAACGTAATCCCTGTGGGACTCCGTAACTAACACAACATTTAAGATATTTGTACGAGAAAGCCATAAGACAAAAGCATTATTTTAAGGGTTGAGGCCAGTATTAAATGGTCAGCACATTCATTTTATTACACTTGGGTGTTGTAAAGGAGCTGTTGATACTTCCCTTTCTTTCTTCCTTTCTTTGCAGTAGCTAAGAGATAAATCCTTTCGTGGAGCAGATCGTTTTTTTGATTGTTTTAAAACTGGTTCCAAATTCAAGATTTAGATTTGAACCTTAAAGGTGGGGTAGGTAATTTTGGAGAAACCAGCTCGAGTGCGCTAGAATTTGAAAATACACAGCCGAAAAAAATTACCAATGAGGGCACGAGATAAGTTTGTGCCCAGATGGAAGGCTGACAGGCAGGTAGGCCATCCAGTTATTTTAGCCGGGCCGGCTCAAATGATTGGTCGTGCTTTTTACAGCGCCACGGCTTCCACAGAGGACATTTTTTAATGGATTTTTTGTCAAAGCACTTCAGATATTCATTGCTATCGGGATGTTAAGAGCATTCCATGGAATATAACAACAAGTGTATCTCGAGCCGGTTTCTCAAACTTACCTACACCACCTTTAAGCAAATATTGAAGGTGTGTCTTTATACCTTGAAATACATTTATTTGGAGATCTCACCGAAATTATTATAATTTTTATCCTGAGATTAAAGTCACTCTTCTGAGATAAAGTCAGAATTCTGAGAAAAAAGTAAGAATAATGAGATTAAAGACAGAATTCTGCAAAAAAATCTGAATCTCACAATTCCGACTTTAATCTTTGTGTTAAAAAACAAAATAACTTTTAGTCAGATCTAAAAGTTATTTGTTCAAGAAGATGTGAAGATGGAACAATTCTACTTTAAAATAAGATTACATTTCCAGATATTACTAACTGGTTACTTAACAACACCCTTCATATCTTTAGCTGGCCCTTATTTGCAAGAAAAAGCAAAAGACGTGATGGAAAACAACTTTTCAAATAATGGCAAAAGAAGGAATCTCTGACGTGCATTTTCCCACATCACTCCTGCAAAACATACTTCAATGTGCAATCGTGAGGAAATGTAAACCAATCTCCCATAGATTGACGCAAAAAGCTTTCGCCTTGTGATGCAAAAGTGACGTCTGAAGGAACGATGACACTGGAGAGAGTATGAAGAGACTGTTGGGAGGATGGTTGGATGAAGTGTGTTTGTGGGTGGGAAGGTGGGGGTGGAGATGAGGAGAGAGAGAGCCTGATCCTTATAAGCTGAGGGAATGGAGCCCACTGCATTTCACAACCAACCAGAAAAACTGCAAGGAAGGGGAAGCATTTTAGGAGCTGGAGGAGAAGAAAAAGAAGAGGACGCAGCAGCATCTCATCCAACTCCAGACTCTTTAGCTGTCTGACCTTTAACCTTATGGACTAGACTCTTCCTCAGGTGAATTCTTCTCTGCGGGATCCTTTTTGTCGTTTGGTTTGAGTAGTTTTCACATCAAGATGCAGGCTCAGTTGGCGTGTATGCTTCTCCTCTGTTTCACATGTGGTGGACTTTGTACAGGTAAGCTCCGGGGCTCTCTCAAGGTTTTATATATGTATGCATTGTGTTTTGGTTTCACGATCAGTCACTGTCTTCATTCATAGGAACAAAATAGGGGGAAAGCCATGACACTGAATTGTGGAACAAGTGTAGGAACATACTGAATGCAACAGGTGGCCTTTTTTGTTGATGTTGCAAAAGGTTGCATATTCTTAATAATGGAAATCTGTTTTAAACAGAATTTTCACGGCAATACTTCTACACAACATTCTTGTTTTCTGAGTTTTATTTTACAGATTAAATCCTTAAACACCCTGGCGGCCAAAATGATGTATTCTTGAGATAGTTACACAATTTTCTGGCTTACTTAAGGAGGGTAATTTTGTGAGTGGGTTCTATTTTTCATCAAGTCTTTTATTCTTCTTAATTTCGGCACAAATTGTGACTTATTAATTCAGGATTCCCTCCTCTTTTAGGCTCAATAAACCCCGTTCACTCAGTTATCCAATGTAATGATTCACAATTTAAATATTAGAAAAACATTTGAACCCCCTTTTATACAAAATAGAAACCCAAAGAATTCAACACAGCAGAGTGAACCATAGTGTTTAATATTTCTGAAATTGATGCCAAATCAAAATACATTTATTTAGTCACATTAAAACATGTCACATTGAACTGTTCAAGAATCAAAATCTAAATACTGCATATAACAATGTAACTTTTGGTCCAATGAGCCAATAACAGTCAGTCTGTAAAAAAAAGTGAGTATTTCTCATTTCAATTCTTAAAATTCAAATGAGAATATTATGGAGCAATCTCAGGATTTACGATTTGGTTGAAGGTGATATACTGTTGATTGGTTTAACAAAGCTTTATTGGGTAAATGTGTTTTGTTTCAATCTCAAGGCACACTGGGAGCCCCATAAATCAATAATGTGTCACCTGTTGAATGATTAAAACTGTCTACTGACACACCAACAAAATAGTGCTTGAGATATAAGTGCTGCAACCCCTTCTTGACTTCAGCTCACAAAGAAGAGTCTTAACACCAGCAGACAAAATAGCTTTCATATCTCCTTGACATTTATTATGGAGCCATCTCAGGATTCATGATTAGATTTGGTTGAAGGTTAAATATCCGTTTCTCCTCTAACTGACAGGCGTGGACCAGGATCAGCGAGCGCTGGAAGAGGACATTCTCAGCAGCCTCTTCGCTTCCAGGGTAAGAAGTTCCACTTTATTTGCAGCTGTCATTTCAGAGACTGAGTGTCCACAGCGTTCAACTAGTAACCCTTCAAACCTGAAACTCATAAAATGCTGATGAAATATATACCTTTAGAGAATTTTCTCTAACCCTAATCCAAGCAGTGTGGATGTGTTCTACTTCTAAGTTTACCACCAATTTAAGAAACATCAAATCCTTATTTCCATATTTAATAATGCCCCACTTCTTATCAATCAATCAATCAACAACTTTATTAATCCCGCAAGGGGCAATTGGCTATGAGCAGCAGCTTATGTCATGAACACAGGCAGGAACATACAAGAAGAAAACACACAGATACACCCGGGAGCACAGATGTGGATAATTCCAATTTACACTATAAATAGTTCAAAGCATCACAATAATACATAAATAAATAAATAAATTATAATAGGGTAAACACCAACAACATGGAATCTGGATCCATGTTTCACTCATAGCTGCACTTTTTTATTGCGTTTTTGTGTCTAACTCACATATAAACTTGCTTTTTTTTAAATGGAAACTAGATGGCACTTTATATTTGTTTACATTTCTGTAAATAAGAGCTTATGCTAAGGTAGGGAAAGTTATTTAGTTGTCTCTTGGTGATTTCTAAACTCATTCATCTGGTGATATGAGCTCAAGACCAGGCACATATTGGGGATGAAGTTGGAGACTCGAGTAGACAGATGTCCGAGCCTAATTGGATTCAGATGGACCTGACAGAATAATAACGAGGCATCCTCCACCTCCTTCTATTCGATAAATAACCGTGATGCTCTTACGGAGACGTGACAGTAACAAATCAGTGGCATGATTCATCGCTGATGAAGGTAGCTCAGGGGTGATGATTGTAATCATAACTTACCGGATGAATGATGGAGTGCTCAAGAGTCTGGAAAGTGCCGTATGGTAGAATATATGCTATCATAACTATTTATTTTTTACAAGGCAGCTAGATTGATAGACCTGCTTGTCCAGTTTTCTTTTTCATCTGATTACGTGCAGGAAGTAGACTTCCTATCCAGTTCTTATTTCTCTATTGAAAACGATAGCAATAATCTGTTAGTCTCCCAAATGTTACATTGACCTTTGCGAAGTTGCTCCTGATTGAGTTTTGCGGCACTTTTAACATTTTGGTGGCTTTTCACGTACAGAATTTTTGGATTTTGAACCCCTACATTAACTCTGAATCCCCCCTCCTCAAAGTTATTGACCGACCAGGACAATAGGAGATGTTCCCTATGTCGCCACAAATGGAAACAATCCTTCAAGTGACCTTCTTAGGATCATTAAAACCACATCCGACCACTCGAATGAAAACCCCTTGGCTTCTTATGTTCGGTCCCTTTCTGGAAGTCTCCTTTTCAATTGTCTTCGATTTCAGATCCGCGAAAGCTATTTCCGTTGACTCCTTTAAAAGCAAACTCAAAACCCATCTCTTCGCATCTGTCTTCCTTGTAAACTCATTCCCATCACCTAGTTTCCATCTACATTGCCATCACTTCAGTCACATGCTTTTATCACATGGCAATACTTATGTTGATGTATAATGTTGTATAATGTTTTTATCATTTTCATGCTATGACGTTTGTATTTTGTTTTGGCTTTTGTTTGCTTTGCACAGCCCTTTGGGGCTATAATACATTTTGATTTGATTTGAATGTCTTCTCCTCCGAGAAACCGTGTATTGACCATGTTTGAAGTCATTACAACATCAGAGGGGACTGTATTCCTCTGACGCTCATAACCGATGCGACCGAAGCGAGTCTTGGAGAGCTTTGGACATTTACAGTAACTTAGAGGCGACAATACCCCCTCGCCTCCTGACTCTCTCTCTCACCCTCAGGTCTTTGCAGCAGTGTGTGAGTTTATTCAAATATTTAGAAATGTTGAAATACTTTATTGTAACAATACTCTGTTACAAGTCCTGCATTCAAAACATTTCTTGAGGAAAGGTACAACAGTACCAGAAGTAAAAGTACTTAAGGGCGCATCTAACAATCATGTATATTAAATGATGGGTTATGATTAATTATGGATTAATGTATTCATCACAGCGGTAATGTTGGATCTGATTTGATGTACCTTTTATGGATAGTAATAATCATGTGTTAATGTTTACCTATTATTAGGCTTATAAGCTGAATCCGTAAAGAAAGTAAATCGGTCAAATATATGTGAGTTAAAAGAACAATATTGGCGCTTGGCTGCTTTTGTTTGTTCCCTTGTGCGTTGTTTTCTGGACGTCTCCTTTTGAATGTCTTCCCCTCCGAGAAACCGTGTATTGACCATGTCTGAAGTCATTACATCAGATGGGACTGTATTCCTCTGACGCTCATAACCGAAAGCGAGTCTTGGAGAGCTTTGGACATTTACAGGTGACAATACCCCCTCGCCTCCTGACTCTCTCTCTCACCCTCAGTGACACACGGTGGTCTTTGCGGCAGTGTGTGTGAGATGGCCTTCCCACGCGCAGGGGCCCTCCACCATCTTAAAGCACTCAAACCACACAAACAGGCGGCGGCGAGATGAGGTTAGATGTGACTGAAACATCACTCTGGGTGTCTGGTGCCTGAGAATGGTTAGGGAATAGTGCACATATATCTTAACTGCTGTCTTAACATGTGGCAGTCTGCATCAGCGCTCTCTGGGTAAAAGAAGAGGGGGGAGAGGGGGGCTTAAATGCATCCTCAGTGCCTCTTAAAGGGAATTGCAGAAGCTTTTACTGCCTCAACTGTAAACACTCAGCGGGTAAAATGGTTCTCAGTGTGAAAATCCTCCAAAACAGCATTTAAAGCGCAGCACTAAAATGCATCGTGTTGGGTAAGCTGCTCTTTAAGGAGGCTGATCCATTGCATATGATCTTAAACACACAGATTCTTATTCTATATTCTTATTTACGTTATAAAAGACATTATTTAGAGTTAAAAAAAAAGGAAATGAAAATCAACATCCTTGAATATGGAGATACAGACGTGACCACATAGTGAAGGATGTATCATTGATAACTTTGTATTAAATAAGAATGATCTCCACAGAATAAACACATGGAGATATGACTGAATACACCCGAACATTTATTAGATATTAATACATTCAATACAATATACCACACCCCACACTGTAATACTGTCTTACTGAAAATATGTTTCATATCTCATACATAAATACACTTCACCGCTTTGTGCTGATATGTAATGCTGAACCACATTTCTCTGTCTCATTACTTTATGTAATGACAATAAAGTTGAATTTAATAACATTTTAACTAATTCCATAATACCACTTACCACAAATGTCATATTTTAAAGATCTGCAGGTCTCCCTTGAAAAAGAGATCTATGATCTCAAGGGACCAATCTGATTAAATAAAGGTTTGAAATTAAATGAAAATAATTGTTTTTTAAACATGTTAAGATTATAGCAGGTCTGTTGGATTAGAATCAATTATATATCTGGACAGGATCTCCTCTCCACCCCCCGCACCAGGTTGCGGACTTTTGCTGACAGAGCCTTCAGTGTGGCATCCCCCACCCTCTGGAACTCTCTCCCCCCCGAAATCCGCAGCGCCCCAACCCTGGACATTTTCAAAAAAAGCCCTCAAAACGCACCTTTTTACCAAGGCTTTCGCCACTGTATAGTTAGTTTAATAGGTTTATTTTTCCACTACTTCCCCCCCCCCCCCCACCCCCTTAACCTGTCTGCCTTTTTTCCCCTACTCCCCCCCCCCCCCTACCCGACTTGTAAAGCGACCTTGGGTTTCCTGAAAGGCGCTATAAAAATATTATTTATTATTATTATTATTATTATATCTTTTTACATATTTTTATAATTGTGTCCAACCTGGATCTAATGATCGGAGCAGAGCGAAGATGAAAATAAAATTGCAATAATTATACTTTAATTTAATAAGCAAATAAACGTCTTCATGTTCGATTTACACTGAACCCAAGTTCACATAGTTAATTGAAACTTTAATTAAATCATCCCCTCAAACAACGATCACATTTATTGCCTACTTTGAATTTAGAAAAGCAATCACTTCCTGAATTAGATTTGAAACCTTATCCATCTCCATTTTTGTTGTTCCCTCTCTGCAGATGAAACAGAATAAGCAGAGCGCCCCCTACTGGCGCGTGTCGCTGGGCAACCTGTGCAGGCTGGTGAGCGTCATGAGCAGCGAGGAAGAGGAGCAGGAGGAAGAGGAGGGGGGGCAGCTGAGGGAGGAGCTGTACAACCTGCAATACATCTGCCGAGCTCTGCAGAGGGAGGACAGGGTGAGACATACACACACACACACACCCGCACACACACACACCCACCCGTGCACACACACACACACACACACACACACACACACACACACACACACACACACACACACACACACACACACACACACACACACACACACACACACACACACACACACACACACACACACACACACACACACACACACACACACACACACACACACACAGACAAAACTAAAATAACCAAGCCAGTAAAGTCAGTAACAGCGTGTGTTGTCTGATATCAAATAAAAGACACACTCACACAAACACAGGTCCATCCATCCTATGAACTCATTAAACGCTTATGTATCTCACTCCTCATTGCTCCCTGTTCCTGTCCTCCATCAGCTCCTTACACAACAGCCTTTCAGTTTTTGATGATCCTTACACAGCGACGGCAGATTAGCTCTTGTTTTGCAATGCATGGAAGCACAGAGGAGAAGCACTCGTTCAATCACAGCTCCCATTACCTTGGCCGCCTGGCAACAAAACACATGTTTGCGTGTCATTTCCTCCTCTCATCGTGTCTCTCTCGCCCTAACAGCTACTCCGTGACTCTCAAGAGTATCTAGAGGAGAACAGTGACACCCCGCTGAAACGAAAGTCACCTTACATCCTGAAGAGGCAAGCCGCACGCACCACCAAATCCCGGAGGCCGTACATCTTGAAACGAAGTTCAATTTACTGACCGGAGAAGATGGGTTTAGGGGACCAGACGATACCTGTGAAGATGTTATTGTGATTTGTCTCCAATTTTCTGTGGCTGCAATGTTTTTTCTTTTCCCATTGTTGTTTTGATTCAGTCAGACCCTTCGATTGTATGTCCGGCATTCAGGCCTGCCTGTATCCTGCTCCTCAAAAGCAAAGCTCCTGAAAATAAACTTAACCTGAGCATCAAGCAAATGGCGTTTCCCCGAGAAACTATATTTATTTACTCAATATCTTTACTGCACACTGAGTCTATTTTTTGTTCAGGATATGATTAAAGAATTCATGAAACAAAACTAGTTTGATGTGAATATCTTTTATTTCAGCTTGCTAGCAGAGATGTTCAATTAATCAGCACATGTGTATTCATCCGCTGATTAAAAGATTCATCCTGGAAAAGCCTGGAAAAGTCTGGAAAAGCCTGGAAAAGCCTGGAAAAGCCTGGAAAAGCCTGGAAAGGATCAGTATTTTTTAGAAGTTTTAACACAAAGTACAGGGACACAGCTGTTTAAGGAAAGTCTTTTTAAAATACAAATATATATTTGTTCTCATTAGGTCTTCAGTTAAAATATTGGGCTGATTGTATAGAGGTACAGAAGTGACACACATTATGAAAAATGCAAGAGGCCCAATTATGCTTTCCTGTAGTGTGTTCTATAGGTTTTTCGTGCTATACATGGTGTTCAACGACTAAAATCCTAAAGTTCCTTCTAGAGGGAGTTTCTCTCCGACACATACCCCCCCCCCATGCCTGAAACACCTCCATTGGACTCCTTTTTTAACCTCCGAAACATAGTGATATCAATATGTAACATTCCCACTTCTATTGGCCTATCCCTGTACATGATAGACTAAGGGGCGGGACATCTCTGAGCGGTTGACCAATCACAACAAAGCCGGCCAGCTAACCACTCAGAGCAGACTGGGCTCTGGTTTCAGACAGAGGGTTAAAAGAGGTGCTGAACTTTTAAGCATGTAGACATGTCACAGTAGAGGCACTCACTAATATGGACCTGAAAATGAGCAGGATAGGGCCCCTTTAACTTTTTGGTTAAAAAAGTTTGGTAGCATGTTCTACTGTATTTCTTTAAGAGCCGTGCAGCTGCTGCCAGTCATTGATTTACAATACTGCATTCAAGTTTGGGAATTAAAGCAAAGAGTGGTTTTCTGGATGTTTAAAGGAAGCACATACTGTTTAATCTTAATACCGTCAGTGTGTGCTCCGGTGGTGAGAATGTTTCAAAGCGGCAACGAGTAAGTTTAGTAGAAGCGAATGAGAGTCTTGGCCTTTAATACAAATGTGGTTTCATCTTCTAATCAAAGTGCTTCTCTGTCCTTTAAAACTCAGCTTTTAACCCTGAGTCAAAGATTTGGATGAAGTGCAGAGAAACCCGCTTTGAACATCCTCGCTCTGTGACTCGTGAGCTTCAGGAAAAACGTTCTGCTAAATGGTTAATTTTACTACACCAATTTACACCTTTGGTCTCTGAGCAGGTAAGGCAATTAGGATGGATTTTACTTTTTTTTAAGGACAGTAAAACCCCTTAGCAGACACTTAAACCGTGTTTAATGAGAGTTGTACATCGGTTTTAATTGTATCGATGTTTCTTCAGCTTTCTCTGAAGCCCACTCCTCTAACAAGATGATCGGTGCCACGAGATAACTTCTGCTTTTCTACCTCTTAAAGTATGTTACACGTCCCTAGATGTGTTTAGTGATACATCAGGCAGGACAAAAACTGCATTTCATTCTTGCTGTGATTATTACATTACATTACATTGCATTTAGCTGACGCTTTTATCCAAAGCGACTTACAATAAGTGCGTTCGACCAACAAAATACAAACTTGAAGAAAACAGAGTCATATAAGTACATCAGGTTTCATAGAGCAAAAGCATTTCAAGTGCTACTCAACTGGCTTTAGATAAGCCAGCCCTTTATTAGTATATAAGTGCTTTGTTAATGATCGTGCTGAGAAACCAGACTAAGACACAGGACGTTTTTTACGTATTTCACACCTATTTCAGCTTTTTATCAAACCAAACTCCTCTCAGTCCTGCACCAGTGTCCAAAAGATGTCCCGCCCCTTAGCCTATCACGTAATGTGTTGGATCCCTAGCCAATACAAGCGTGAATGTTACATGGGGACACACTACACTACAGGAAAGGGAAAACCCAAAAGCATAATAGGGCTTCTTCAAAGCATCAAAGCCAGTTGTATTATCCACAAGGTACTATTAGGGATTCATCTCACGGGGTAAGTACCTTTTATATTTACAGTTGATGGTCAGTACATCACAATTCCACAAAAACATTTCAAGTAGTATCGAGTAAAACTGACAGTTTTGGTCTTGAGTTACCAAGTCTTTTTTTATGTGTCTCCAGAAACACTATTACACTCAATAATCCACAGTCCTGACTTTGAAATGATTTCAGTGGGACTATTTATTTGGGAGTAAAAGGTTACAAGAAAAACTCATTTTCTTCGAATCTTTGAGCTCCAGAAAAGAAGATTACATGTAGCTCTTTTGTATTGGGGTGCCAGAAGAAATCTCAGAAACAGATTTTTAAATTGATCTTTCAGCACTGCGAGATACATTTGGATTTTGAAGTGTCAGTGGCTTATACTGTCTCAATTCCATTTTTTTGGGAATGAAAGAAAATAAATGGCCTTAAAAGATCGAGGGTCGAGTGGAGAAAGTATGTAGTCCAGAAGCACCCAAACTCAAATGATATTTTAAAGATAAAATAAGCTTTAGCGGTCACTGTTCCAGATTATTATTCACTTCAAGCAGACATTTATCTTCTCTGGTTGCAAAAGCCTAACTGCAAGCCTGCTGTTTAAATGTTCCCTCAACATTAAAAAGCTTAGGTGCCTTTGAGTCAGACCCTTGTAACTAATAGCTTCAACTTCAGTTGGCTGCTGTTGAACTTTAATGTGTCAAATTATACCTGTGAAGCAGGAAAAGGTATAATAAATACCAAAGGCAGCCTCTATTATTATTCCTTTCATGTCAGGGACCACCAACAGTGTAAGTGCCCGTCACAGGCAGCGGATGGCAGTGTTGTTTAACTAGTGTGATTTACTGCGCAGTGTGAATAAGTGCAAAGTGTCACATACGTACAAGTATCCCTAAAGAAAACTGTTTATAAAAAGAAATAGAGATAATTTGCAACAGAATCTCCTCAAAGAACCGCAGAAACGGGGGAACTCTAATGTTTTCTTTGGTCAGTTTTAACAGTCAGATGTGCTTAAAGGTCACGGCCATTTCTTATTTCATTTTCATTTCAAACCTTTATTTAACCAGATTGGTCCCATTGAGATCATAGATCTCTTTTTCAAGGGAGACCTGCATTTCTACTGATCATAATTCCATTGTTGAGGTCTACTAAAATAGATTTACATTGTTCAATGTTCCAAACTCACATTGGTTTCTCATACAGCATCTCTGTGTAGTATGTGTATTCACTCTCTGTCCTAAACGGCTTGGTGGGGCTCCTGCCCCCCCGCCTCCCTATGAGCTCGCTGTGCTCTGATTGGTCAGCTCGCCCACTCTGTTCTGATTAGTCTACCACCGTTACATCAGTGATTATGTGTTACAATGGCGTTTGTTAGCAACCAGAAAATGACACCAGTAATGACAAACAGATGAGAACGCTGCGTGGGGTCTGGGTGCCGTGTTGGCGGGACGTTGTGCGGCTCGCTGCTTCGCCCTTTGAGGCTCGAGGAGCGGACAGTGTGAGCTGGATTACTGGGGTCGTTTCCTGGTTGCGGCGTGGGGTCTGCGAGACACCGAGACATCGCAAAACTCAGCCTGAACTCAGCCTGAGCACCATGGATGCGGGAAGGGGGGGTGCTGAGGGGGCCGCACCCCCAAACGCGGCTCCACTAACACCAACACCCCCCCCCCCCCAGCGCGTCACGGTTTTGCCGCTGAGAGTGTGTGTGTGTGTGAGGAGCTCCACGGATTGGTCCTTTTGGGCATGGTCACGTCACAGTACCCAGGAAGAAACAATGGAAAAAGAGAAATGTCCAACGAGGCGTTCTGGGGCAGCACAGACAGGTCTTTTCTGTGTTAGAGTTTTACTCACTACAGGGTGTACTTTGAGGGTTTGTGACTCTGCAGACCGTTTACATGGTAAATAACCAGAAAAGCATGACATGGGACCTTTAAATAATCTTGCAATGACGGTGGTTTTCATGTAAAGACAAATACACATCTTGTGTAGCTTTTCTAATCCTACCTTTTCTTTCCCATCGACATCCTGTGTCAACATGAAACAAAATAACACGAGGAAGTAATCAGAGTCCTGGAAAACATTTCCAATGCAAGGAAAAGGTCATTATTAACTGCAGTCGTATGATGTCTCTATTTGGCATTTGAGTGAGGATAAGTTTGACTGATGGAGACCTTTTCACTAATTTGCCTCATGCACATCCATTTACAGACAAATCAGCTTTGTTCATTGAGCAGTTCTATTATAATAATGCAATAATGCAAAGCTTTCACTCCAAAAAACGAACCGATGTTTACATGTGTTACATATTTTTCACATATTTGGTGCTTTACACAACCAATTACCATGATACGGCAAAAGGAAAATGCAAGTGGGAAAACAATGTCCACAGGAATAATGTTGAATGATTTTCTACAAGATTTCCCTTGAACATCTCACAGTTAAACTCCCATAGGCCCCACAAGTCTTGATAGTATATACTTGAAGGTGAGCAGCAATACAAATCTCACTTCAATGCGATAAAACTTGGCAAAAGCAAAGAGTTTTATTTTTCATTCTCTATCCAGTGAGTCACTTTTCATAAAGTAATTTAGCTTCACAGCAGCAGATATTAAAGGAGCACAGAGATGTGTGTTTGTGTGTGGGATAAAAGAGAACATATCCTGACATTTCATTAAATAATACTTACCCACTTTCTTTTGTTAGGTCTTACACAAGTATGCTATAAACCAGGAGGTGGCAGTGCAGTACAACACTACAACTAAACTATATATCTTCAGATAATAACCTTTTGTTTTTCTTCCACCAAAATACATTTAAATCTTATCCCTGTGTAAATAATATCCGGTCATAACAAAACAGAAAATGTGTTCTGACCTTAATTCTACAATGCAGTGTTTCACATTTAATTCATTCTTCCATCTAGAATACCAAGATTCCCACTTAAGAGTGACAGTGTGAAGCCTCGGGCTATTTCTAATTAGTTTCAATGTCAAGGAGGAGTATAACTTTGTTCCTTTGGATC